GACTGTCAACAGACTTAACTCGTCCTTGTTCTGTGCTCAACTTTACGCAGTTTCGACCCAAATTCCATGAAAAAACGACACCCACAATGGGAGACGTATCCTAGCACACGCCTTGTCGTGTTACATTTGTCCAACGGTGCGTCCCGTGCATCTAGAAGACATTAAATTACAACAAAAGCTCACTTGACAACATTTAACTGTACGACTTGTTTGGCTTCGGCATAATGGGCGCCGTGGCCAATGATTCGCCAGTCGTGCTCAACATTGCTTCGCAAAAACCCGGACCACAAGGGAAACCAACGACAAGTGAAAACTTTTGGCTTCCCACCGGCTTTTATTCTATCCCGACATGGCCTTGAAACGCTTGGAGCACGGTTCAGACCGCAAGTCGCTAACTCTGAGAGGGCACTTTGTCTCCCGAGCTAATGGTATATGGTGACATTCCGTAAATTCGGTGACTTCAGTTTGCAAGCAGAGTCAGTGGCGGGTTATTTCGGTGGATGAAGTGTTGCTACTGTGTGCGTGCACCAACGTCTGGATGGTTATGAATAATCAAGGCATACAGGTCTCAGAGTGAAGTACTCAATCAAGATATATTTCAGTCGTGCGGAAGTAGGGCGACTGCAACAAGCTATTGATAGAAATAAACCCATGGGATGGACCAAAAGTCCCTACGCTCAGAGAGCTATCCTGCATCAGTGCAAAATATTGAACACACAAAACTGGTCATAGGAAACGAAAGATAGTAAAAAACTGCTTATGAGGATAATCAGACCACTGCAGATAGATAATTTCAGACAACCCTTGCGAAAACATGTTGGTCTACCTAACGTCGCTGGTCCTAGCCCATCAAGGATGAGATGACAATTGTCGGATAAGATAGTAAAAAACTGCTTATGAGGATAATCAGACCACTTAATGCAGATAATTTCAGACAACCCTTGCGAAAACATGTTGGTCTACCTAACGTCGCTGGTCCTAGCCCATCAAGGATGAGATGACAGACAATTGTCGGATGCATTTGTGCGCACACTTTGAATGCTTTATCTTGCGCAACTCGGGTTGATCAGTAGGATCTAATAGCTGTATTTTCTCAGCCTAGCTCCCCGTCTTATCCTTCCTACCCAGCGTTCCCGTCGAAATAAACAACAAAGGTGCACCACTTGTAGTAACTCCGGAAAGCCAGGTGAAAAACACATGTACCATGTGTCATATGTAAGGCCTATGCCATGACATCATTCTGGAAATTCGGAGACGTCTTCTGGATGCAGCATTGCTAACCGGCAACCGGCAACCAGCGGATACTGGATCGTGATTGGCTGTTGGGTACAGACTTTCGGCCAATCAGGTTGTGGGCCGATGTTCCCACCGAATGCGGCTAACGCCTCAAAAACACCGGTGATCAAACAGCGACAGCTTCCGCATGTCATCTGCGCGTAGACGCCATGTTTCTGGTCCGTTAAGCAGTACAAAACGCACTACCGCAGTGTGAACCCTTCTCTTAACAGACAAATGATATTGCTTTGACACCATAGCTGATGATTTTATTAACTCACCGTTACTTAAGTTACGGTGATCCAGGAGACCTTCGCGTCACCCATACATGAAATCCCCTACGAAAATTTAGAAAGACGCCGCTGGTGTGGGTACTGTATTTGGTCGTTTTCTGCCGGTGATGCTTGTACGTAGGCCCTGCAGGAAGCCCCAAAGTCCCCGTTATTGATGTTAATAAATGTCATCCGTAGCTAGTGACCCATGGACTCATAAAAAACAATAACACTGAAAGACGTGGCTCACTCTTTCAGTCAATGGCTTTCATGCAACAAAAACATCACCTTCGATGCGTAGGATTCATTTACCGTTTCCTCATAACCAAAATGATTCAATATCAACTAAGTGGTTGTGCCATTATCTTCACTTTTGGTGGCTGAAACTGCAGAAACTGGGAGAAGCATACACTAGGGAATGGTTTATAGCTGATAAACTGAACTGAATTGAATCGAGCTGTGCTTAATTTGGCTCTTACACACAAGTGTTTAGGCAACTGCAACCTAGCATGTTCCAGAATCAGCAAGCAGCCAAGTCATGTCGAGTAATACGAGACATCATCCCAGAAGATCGGTAAATAACGAGAGCACCCGCGAAGGGTTAAGGAGAACAGCAGCAGAGCTTGGTCCTACTTCGTGACCTTTTGCCCGTAGGGAGNGTGGGCACCAGTTTTCCCAGCCCTGTCACTTAAGAGAAGAGTCTTTTACAGTGGCCACACGTGACCTGCAGAGTGTAGAGAGTAGATGTTACCTCTTACTTAGTCTTACGCCAGGCGTAGTTGCTCTTGCTTTACTCACTCTTCCCGGTTACGGACTACTTCGAACTGACAGGCCCGGCGGTATGCAGGGTGGTGTAATCTTATACTCCATGCTGCTCATTTGGTGCCAATGGAGATGAAAACGGATGTTTATAGAGATAAGGCTGTGTGGTATTGGACCAAGCTTCCAAACTAAGCATGCGTTTGTACTACCGGGAGGCGGCCTTAATCTAGTGACCAACTTTGTTTGAGAAACTACCTAACCCCGCAATGTTCTCTTATTACAGATATGAAATCCTTGCTGGTAAGTTAATGTTCATCTTCGAAACGCCAGATTGGGGATCGCCTAAGAAAATCAATAGCTATGGTGGAATCAAAGGATGGGGTAGAGAAGGTATTCTGCATCGAAATGGTGTCCTGCACCATCTAGCCCGATTAACAGAACCTGTCGACTGTATGATAGTGAAAAAGGGCTCAGCAAGTCATCCACAGAAACTCCGTCAAGAAGGGTTATCTGAATATTTAAGGGATCAGTTTAGTTAACCTCCTGTAACACAACCCTCGGGTGCGATGTGAATCGCTGAATCGGATATGAATGTCAATAGTTCAAGGGAATAAACATAAAAACCGAAACACCCCCGGTGCGCCAGCGAATCCTGTTCATTCGCACCTGCCTTTCGTATGTAGTAAGACTACAGGTTTGCTGTTTCGATGACTTGCAAAACCCTTGGACGAGCCTTGTGTGGAGCTCGCTTCCATATGCTCTTTGCATGTCGCCCCCTTTGGAGCTATTTTCGTTCGTCAAACATTTTGACTATCCAAACCCGTCACGAAAAGACTGGATCTTATCGTCCTGTGACGGTTTCCGTACCTCTGCGGCCCACTGAGCTATACTGGGAGCTGTCCGTGCAACTTTTGCAGTCTCTCATACCAGATTGGTCTATAGTTAAAGGTCAGACGAACACAGTCTCCTAGTCATCCAGGTTGGCGGTTGATACGTGTATAGCGACTTATTCCGTAAAGATTGAAATGTACTTACATTTACCACCAAACACCGCAGCATTGCGGCCAGGCTTTTCAGCCAAAGACTTTGAATGAAGACCCTAATCGTCCTGTCTAGGTGTGGGCGCCCTGACAGTATCCCAGCCCATCCACAACCACGACACCTACGACTAACATTACTCTCATGCCACATCGCCCGTCGCGTCGAGCCATCAGCCGGGTCGCCTTACTGCTGCATACAGCAGGGCAGTTAAGCGAAAACCGGCTACTACTGACGCCTCTCTCCTCTCTTTTAACATACTCTTTCTTCTCCATCTCACAACCCCAATAACGACTCTCACCTTGTAGGCCCAGCACTTAGGATTGATGACTCCGTTCGTCTTGTATCGTTTTTTTGCGTGCGATATCTGCTCGTCACATGGTGCCAACATCCTCAGGTGTCTCGAAATCAATCTCCGGGCCTCGACGCTCAGTATGGGTCGAGATGGCTCAAGTGGTCAGGTCGCTTATTTGCTGATCAGGAAGTCCGTGGTTCGAACCCGACCTCTGTCTCTCGAATTCCCCTGTCTAGGCTTGGGGAAACTAACAGTATCCTAGCCCGCATGCTTCCTTCGGTTGGTATGGCAGCTAGGCACCGAAAGGGTGTTGCATCTGAGAGACTTGGTTCAGACGCCTGGTTCATCTGGCTGTCTTCAGTGTCCGCACTCTAAAGCAGCAGGATAAAAAGCTGCTCTCGCTTTCACACTGGACTCGTTTGGAATTGATATGTGCTGTGTCTCATAAACAATGATTCAGGATGCAAGCACAGTGGTTTGGCTAACCGCCTCATCAGTCTCCACTCGCTTCTAACGTACTTATGGTGATCCAGAGGCTGCTGAGGCGGGATGTGCATGGGTTGGTTGGGGTCAAAGTATTCTTACTTGTGCTGCTGAGGCGGGATGTGCATGGGTTGGTATCGCCCTAAGTAAGGGGTCAAAGTATTCTTACTTGCCTCTGTTCGTTTCCTCTGGCAGAAGCGAGAAGTTGATCCTTGTCTGTTTATCCTCTCTGCTCATGCCCCAACTGACTGTAGCTCCGATGCCGTCAAAGGCAGATTTGGCGACGCCCCGAATGCCCTAACGGGGTGAGCTAAAAGCTCAGATATCCACAAGTTGGCAGGTTTACCACACCTGAAACTCAATCATGAAGTATCCATGGGTTGGACTCGATGCGTACGGACAGTGATGAACTCTTGCTTCAGCTATATGCTGACCGCATGCTGTTTTTATGCAGTACCAAATTCCGAAATAGCTTAAACCCTCTGGCCACATGGTGTCCTCCAACGACATGCCGGCCACAGATACAAATCGGTCACAGTGCCATCAATTACCGGTAGTACGGATCAATAACTGACTGCCGATCGTTTTGGAACACATTTGTGGACTCCGACCACGCGACCATCCAGAGTCGTTTCTCTCCACGTTTTCCATGGCCTTGTAGGTTACGTGTACATCGCTTGGCATATGAGAGACTGGCAGATCCGGATGTCAGACGACCTTACCAAGGTCGTCTTCTAGAGTCTCTTCCAAATGTTCCACCATCACATGTGAATTCATACTGGGACGAGATTGTCACCTCTTTGCATAGTGCTGGAAGTTCTATAGGTGCCACGGCACCGTCAGGCGTACTGAAGCAGTGGATTTCAGACTGAACAATGGTACTGCTTAAGTCTCGGAGAAATGTTCACAGTCGTGAACATGGCTTGATGCGTTGGATTATCGAACGTCAAGTGAAAGCGAACGTGCGAGCCGACTGTGAAGTGTGGTGGACACAAAAAGTCAAGGAAATGAAAGAGGCCCAGAAAGCCGGGAACGCCCAGAGATTATTTCAGTTAATCCGTGGGACCGGTCCCCGGAAACCACGTGTGAGCGAAACCATCAAGGATTGGAATGGAGTGCCCATTTTGAATGAAGAAGAATGCCCCAACCGTTGGGCCGAATTTTTCGAACAATTGTCGTGGCCACCAGCTGAATTTTATCTGGAGCCCACAGTTGACGTAGAACCCTTCCACATACGGTATCGGAGGTTTACGACTATATATGTTCTCTCGAGTGCCACGGAGCTTCTGGTCCAGATGACCCCCCACCCGCATTGTCCACAAATGGGGATGAAACCATCAGTCAGCGCTTGTCTGATCTGTTTGCTTGCATTTTGGGAAAGGTGATCATCCCAGATAACTGAGGAAAGTGACCAGATGGCCCAAGTGGTTAGAGCACGAATTCACTGACCGAAAGGTAAGTGATTCGAACCCGACCTCTGCATCTCGACTTCCCCTGTCTAGGCTTGGGCTACCTGGCAGTATACCAGCCCTCATGCAACCTTCGGGCAGCATGGCAGTTAGGCACCAGAAGGGTGTTGCAGATGAACGATTTCTTTCTTTCGAACTGAGAAAAGTCGGTGATTATGCCCACTTTCAAAAAGGGGCTCGAAGTGAGTGATTACTACAGGGGGCGTCAGCTTGACCCCGGTCACAACGAAACTTTAGGCGTCACTTGTGTTTCGTCGCCTTACGATGGCGCATGGCGTCACTTGTGCTTCGTCGCCTTACGATGGCGCACGAAACGCTGGCTCGAGAGCAACAAGCAGGGTTTTGGCCTGGTGGGATTGTGTTGATTTAATCTGCACACTCTACCAGGGGCGAGATAGCTCAAGTGGTTAGAGCACGAATTTACTGACCGGAAGGTCCGTGGTTCGAACCCGGTCTCTGCCTCTCGACTTCCCCTGTCTAGGCTTGGGCAACATGACAATATCCCAGTCCTCGTGCTTCCTTCGGGTGGCATGGCAGCTAGGCACCGAAAGGGCACTACAGCTGAACGATTATTAGCGATTATTCTCTACCAGGTGCTAGAACAAGTCCGTGCATATAAGCGACCCATAATTGTAGCATTCCTGGACTTCCAAGGCGAATTTGACTCGGCTGACCGGTCTGTTCTTCTTCACACGTTTCTTCACCAAGGAATTCCCCGGAAGTTCGTGGACATAATGGGTTCTTCTTATTCTCAGACTTCCGGACATGTGAGAGTACACGAAATACTAAAGACTTCCTTTCACCTAACAAGTGTCCTTCGGGGATGCCCACTCTCTCCATTCCTATTTAACTTTGTGATCGATGAAATCACGGGATGAACGCTGAAGGTCTCCATAATACTGGTGTTCAAGTAACCTGTGACGAGAACCTTATCGATCTGGAGTATACAGATGACATCGTTATCATCTTTGAAGAAAAGAAGACGCTGGTGTCTTTGGATGAACTGACCAAATCCATCCCGTCCTTCGGTATGCACTTTACACCCACAAAGCGTAAGGTCATGCTCGTGGGCATACAGTCACTGAACACGCCATTTACAATCCAGGGAGAGGCACTTGAAGTTGTGGAGCGTTTTGCCTATCTCGGAAGTTATATTAGTTCTAATTGTAGTTTGACACATGAAGTCAATGCACGAATCTGCCAGGCTCGGGTCGCGTCAAATTGATGTATCTCTGAATCTCATGGGACGTGTGTATCAGGCTACAGTGCGGGCCGTTTTGTTGTATGGCTGTGAAACTTGGCCTGCTCGAGCAGCGAAACTTAGACGTCTTCAGATGCCGGTTGTCTCAGGACCATAGCTCATGTGGAGAATTTTCGATGAGGCAATTATAAAACGAGTTTTTGTTTGTGCGATGGTGACTTCCATCGAAGAATGTGCCTAACACCAGATGCTGCGCTGATTGGGACATGTGTCGCACATGCCTAACCATCGTTTGCCGAAGAGAGTGTTGTTTTCTATGCCCAATTCAGGGTAGCGTAAACAGAGATGTGGCCAACCCTTGACTTAGCAAAGGGAAATGAAGGAGATAGCACGACATTTGGGTGCTTTAGGTGCTACTCGCCTTCCAGGATGGGGATCTGTACAGAAACCAGTACTCAATTGGCAACAGTTGAAGGATTACAACAGGATCACGTGGGTCTCTTGCTCTCACCAGCTCTAGACAACCATAAATTGGTCTTTTTCCTCTGGACTTTGTGCTCGCGTTTTACTGATTCTGTTTTCTTTCTGGTGTGCTGAAAATGTCGGAAGATATACTCCAGAGGAAATAAAGCGACCAGCATCTCTCCCGAAGTGCGAGAAAAGCAACGGGTCTAGATGGGTTATGTCTAGTCTTCTGAAAAGAAGCTGTGGGGTGGGGGTGATGGCTCGCCTGACAGCTTTTCTGTGTATAAAATGCTTTGAGATTGGGGTGCGTCGACAGTGCTCCCAATCTACCCAAGGGGTCCGAAGATTGTGCATATAGTTTACTGGAAATACCCTTTAAAAATCATGAGAACAATGAGGGTAGCGAACCAACCATGTTTTGTGTAATTGGTCCTCTTAGCTAATACGTCACGAGTCACGTGCGAATCATATTCAAATGCTCTCACGTTAGTCTTACCTAATGAGTCCAGACTGCCTTCTGAGCTCATCTGGCGTTGGCTTATGGAACATAAGAAGAAGCGGATTTGCGAAGCTCGAGCTCCCTACTGCTCCTAACAAGATCACCTCTGGTTAAAATACTCCAGAATTACACCCTGACCCTTATATCTAGCCGAAGTGTACGGTTTTGTCGTTGCACTGAGACGTTAGAATGTGTCCGAGAACGAGTTGGAACAAAGTCCAGGTTTTCGAGGATAAGCAATGTTTTACTTGTCTAAGAACAAGCGTGCATGGGCTGAAATGCATACAAAGGTTCAGTACGAGTATATATGGTAAGTATAAAAAAATAAGCACACAAAAATCATGACATGTACTAGGCACATTCTCATATCCTATGATATCTATACGAAATTTCTTGAGGTCTTTAGTTGACCACTTAACCGACATATTGTGGGAAGCATGGTGGCATCAATAGTTTCTTCTGTGTGAGCGTAATGAAAAACGCCCGTAACAGCAGCCCCACCAGACGTGTCCTCAAGCTGGAGATTACAACACAATATAACGAATGAAACATATGAAACAGGATTTTGTGAATAAAACAACATGGGAGTACATAACTGAATGTGACAGTCTATTGTCTTCTCCAGTCTACTATTTGCAAGATTTTGTTGTCCACATCGTGGACATATTCAAATGAGAAAGTTCTGTTTTATCGCATTTACCACTATCATCTTATCCAGTCTGATTTCCTATGGCATTAAATACTTTCACCTTGTTTACAGCCACTTAGGATCCCGTAAATTAGCCCTCTTTGTACCTGGTGCGCTGATCAATCAGAATTTTTCTGATACAAATGACTACCTTCGAGTATGTTACTGTTGATGCTCTAGCCCTTGCTCAGGGATGAGAAATCCAGACTACGTAGTTATATAAATGACCGACTGAATCGTACCGGAGAACGCGAAAAGCTCAAAGACCTTCTTCGAACACGCCTGAATGAATGCGGATGGCGGGAAGAACTTAAAAACCATTGTAGAGGTGAGCTCGCAAACCAGCACTCGTGTTTGGTTACAGTGTTCATATTTGTACTTGTTGACTCCCTAAATCTTGTAGAGCTTGAGTTCTGTTTTCTTCGTCCCAGGTTGATATGTGGTCGTTGGAAGCAATGGTTCTGCGTAAGCGCAAGCACACGGACACTGTTTTCAACCCCCGTTGGTGGCCAGTTAGATGTCGACTAAGCGGTGACTGCATCGCCCACATCGCACCTCCTCAGGTGTCCGAAGACCGTCTTATTCGCAATCAACCCGCAATCTTCTTGTACTCGAATTTTCGGAGCATAATCCGTTCGTTACCCTTATTTATTGGCAAAAGAGACTATAAGGCGGTCACCAAGATCTACTCCATTGAAGATACGTCGGATAACAATAGCTATTCCCCACTTGTGTCTAACCCTTTTGTCCAAGATATACTGATGCGAAGACTAGTTCCAGCAAATGCGGACCGAGGTAATGAGGATTAGGGTGACTGACTACGCAGCAGGTACGTCAGTCGCAGAAAAAGGTTTGTCGTCACAGACCACGGTGTCTCGGCTGTGTGTTACGCACGCCGCATGGTCGTTCAACGATACTTTTTCTGGTTTCGTTTCCCCCACCAAAATGATGCAGAATACGAGATTGACGTCGTATGATCTGAGAGAAGGGTCAAGGGGAAATTACCACCACTGGTCTGAGCGCTGTTTATATGTTTTTTCTGGGATGAGATCCCTGTGGCACTCTCCGTTCTTAACTGGAGATCCGGTGCAAAATCTAACGGACAGCCGATGTCAGTGACGTTCGTGTCGTTATGTTCTATCGAGATTGTCTGAATGAGTACTTCGATTTTGTAGGCACCTAAGAATGGTTGTGGATGGCTGGCATCAGCTTTTTTCCGCATCCTCTTTTTCCATCACAAGGCTTTTTTATACAGCAATGAAGCACTTGTGTCAAAACTGATGTCGATGTCTTTGGTGGCACATAACTAAAGTACGGTATCCCCTTGAGAAAGTGTACAACGAAAAGGGGAGGTCGCCTGTCACTAAGGGGTGGAGTGGGACGTACGTTTGGTCTACCCTTGTGAGGATTGCCCTATACGTGTACGATGGTATGCGACCCCTTTGGTTAAGCGTGCCTTTGACTCTGTGGACCGTCAGGTACTATAGCGGTGTCTGGAGCAAAGGTATCCCCCATAAATTCTTGACCCTCCTTAAGGCGCTGTACGCCAACTCCTGCGGCCGTGTGAAGGTCTACGGGAAGCTCTCTTCTGAGTTCACCACATCAAGTGGTATCAGACAGGGCTGTCTTGTTTCATCTTTCTTGTTTGGCTTCGTCATTGATACGGTCATGGAAGACTCACTGTCAGCCTCTAACGCCTGTGGGGTCAAAGTCCTTCGGTGACGTCCGCTCACAGATATCGAGTACGTAAACGACATAGCTGTTCTTGGATCGGATACCGTAGTAACGCAAACAATATCAAATAATATAATTCCGTCACGGTTTGGTATGCTCTCCACACCTGCAAAGTGTAAAGTGCTACTGCAAAACTGAGTGGGCTTGAACCCCAGCCTCATGCTTGCGGATGAACCGATTGAGGTAGTAGACAAATTTGTTTACCTGGGCAGCTGTATCAGCCCCGGTGGTCTCGCGAAAGATGCTACTTCCATCCGGATTGGGAAAGGCAGAGCAGCTTTTGTGAGCCTGCATCATTTGTGACGTAGGCGTGACATCAGCTCATTCTTCAAGGGTCGAGTTTACAATGCTGCGGTGCGCTCCATACTACTATATGGATCAGAAACCTGACCGTTGCGCGCTGAAGACGTCAAGACCTTCGGAGTTTGACCATCGATGTCTTCGGAGCATTGCCCGAATCTGGTAGGAACACCTGATCATCAATGCTGAAGTTCGTTGAATGGTACTCCAGAGGAGTAACTCACCCTCGATAAATGATCCGATCACACTGCGTAGGTTGCGCTAGCTTAGCCACTTGCTGTGCATTTCAATCAACCGACCTCGAAGGGCTGTTTTCGCATAACCACGTGAAGGGTGGAAGAGAACCAGAGGCGGTCAAACAACGACCCGTCATCTAAGTATGGAAGCCATTACCACGGAACTCAACTGCGCTCGTTATTGCCATCTCCCTGGATGGGAACCCCGAGACGGGCCATATCAATGGTTAGAGACATTGTCAGACATGGCTCAGTCGCGCCCTCAATGGCGCTCATGTATCCAAGCTGTT